CTGACTCGTACTTAATATAATGCGTGCCTCTCTATTTTGAGAAAATCGGGTAGCCTCATAACAGCTGTTACATAAAAAGTTTTTAAATTTTTAAATTTTTGCATGACTAACAAGGAAACATTCCCAAGTGTCCGCCTCCGATCTTATTGAGTTTCATATATGTTGAAGAACACAAAAATCTAAGAAACACGTGTTTTTTATATCTGCAATGGTCGACAATTAAGGGGTGAAACAACCCCCCAAAGTTTAGCGAAAAATCGATTTTTTAAATAATTTTCGTAAGAGCAGTGGAGGGATTTCGACGAAACTTTGCATAAACGTATTCTGTATAAGGACGATGACAACACAATATTGTTCAGCAATGTTGCACCCAGGGGGTGAACTACCCTTCGGGTGACATTTTTTTGTAATATCCATTAAACAAGCACTCCTACTTAAGTTCTACTTACGCGATGTGATTGTTCGCAAAAAATTAAGAAATACGTGTTTTTTGCTTTTCGCCAATAAACATTTACATATCGGTTGTAAACAATGAATGTAGGTGGTATTAGGGTATATCCCGACTACCTTTATTGGGTTATATTGTGACCAATTCATCGTACATAAGTCGTGTCCACGTGGTAATTCTTCAAAATGTCATTGATTTTCATAACATGCAATTATTTATAAATAAATTAAAAAACAGTTTCAGAGGCTAAAATTGTTTCGCAACGGATTCGACGATGCAGTCACCCGTTTCCAACTAGTAATACAATCTCCGTTGTGAAACGATAAAATTGGATTTTCACTGTTGTTATGAAAAAATAGAGTCCGCGATATTCGATACCTAAGGTACGGGAATAGTACGTTGAATCAAATCAAATTTGGAATCGTCTACGCCGACGTGCGTTCTTATAAAGTCTGCACTGGATTCGATGCTGATCAGTTCTGATCAGGACTTCGTCCTTGTGAAATTATTTCGTCGACGTGCTATGATATATTTGTACGTAATGATTATAAATCCTATAAACGTGATTAATCTTTTGTTAGCTACGTTTCAAACTATGTATTTAATGGAGACGGAAGTTAATCGACAAGAAATACTGTTAAAAGAATCTATTCGAACGATTCTTTTGGATAGTATATTCCAATTTAATTCGTTTGAGATTACTGAAGATTCATCATTGGATTTTCAAGAACCTTTTCAAGCACGGGAGGTTAAGTATGTTGAAGATAAAAAAGAGTGGACTGACGAAACGATGCCACAACCGTCTTCCTCGGTTTGCCAAGACACAGCGGTTAACTTCGACTATAAAAAGAGAGCAGTAGAATTCTGGAGAAGTGGAAAGTCCGGCAATCTCAAATTTGCCACTGTCCAACAACGATTTAGGAAACTTCTGATGCTCGTGAATTAAGAAGGTGGGCCAATCAAGTGGATGATAGAGGATGTCGAAAAGAAAAATTACTGTATGTCTCTTCATCGACGCTGAACAAATTACGAAACGCTATTGACGCTGGTTTTATAGTACATGACGCAGATATCCAGAAATGGGCTCTAGAAGCATGGAGAGAACAGACAAACAACGACATGAGTTTTAAAGCGTCGTCAAAATGGTTATATAATTTTAAAAAAGCTCATCGTATTGTGTCACGAAAAATAACGAAATTTATTACAAGGAAGACATTAGAAGACGGCGCCAATTTACAAAAAGTAACTAGTGAATTTCTAGACACTGTAAGACCACTGATAGCGCAGTACGGGGCCGAAAATGTGTATAATTCCGACCAAAGTGGATTTCAGCTAGAAATTCATTCGGGACGGACATTATCATATGAAGGAAAAAACAAAGTGGAATGTGTTGCCCAATCAATTTCGTCGACAACACATAGCTACACAATCCAACCAATAATTTCGTGTGATGGACGTTTACTATCACCGCTGTTGGTAGTGTTGAAAGAAGCAAGTGGCCAATTCGGACCGGTCGTGGAAAAAACATTGATTCGTCCACAAAATATTTTTCCTTTGGCTTCGAAGTCTGGCAAGCTAACTTCAGGTAAAGACGCCTTGAACTTATTCCTTTAATTTATTAACTTGTAAACTAGTAATGATTAATGCGATTAAAAAAATTGTAGAGCATTTTAAAACGTGGTTGAAGGATGTCCTCTACCCTAACATTGGTCAACAAATCGTTCTTCTGCTTGACTCCTGGAGCGGATACTGCAGCGATACAATTGAAAGAACGAATCCTGCCGACAAAAACATTGTGGCAATGACGATACCAAAGGGAACTACTGGTCGAATCCAACCTTTAGATGTCTATGGTTTTCGAGTATGGAAAAATTTTGTGAGGCGTTTTTCTGATATTGTCCTTTTACATAATTATGACGGTAACCTTCATTTACGGAATAATATCATAAAATTGCAATCACTCGTGCATAATCAGTTGTCTTCTCCTAGATATAAAAGCCTGTTTCAATATGCATGATATAAAAGTGGTTATATCGATGAAAGATTAGAAAACTTCACGAACCCGGTTAATTTTGCCTTTGAAAGATGTTCAGTTATGAAATGTAATGTTTGTGGTGCAGCAGCAATGATACCGTGTTCTTGGTGCAAAGAAGCATTTTGTGTAAAGCACTTTTTCCACGAATACCACTACTGTAATAAATGTAATCAGTAATATTAAATAATCTCCTGCTTTATAGAAAGATGTAAACAATATTCTCTTATAACTTCCTGTTGATTAATTTCAGAATTAATATTTATATGCACACTCTTCTTGAATGTACTATTCTCGTACCTAAGGTATCGAATATCGCTGACTCTATTTTTTCGTAAAAACAGTGTAAATCCAATTTTATCGTTTCACCACGGAGATTGTATTACTAGTTGGAAACGGGTGATGACTGCATCGTCGAATCTGTTGCGAAACAATTTTATCCTCTAAAACTATTTAATTTATTTATACATAAGAGTGGCCTGTTGGACCTCGGGCCTTCGGCGGAGATCGGCGCCTAGCAATTCCCCGGCTCTGCATCGATGTTAGTCAGGGCGGATATTCGGTAGTGGGCGATCCAGGAAGCAAGAGAGTGATATTCCGCGAGTTTGATAATATAAAGTGGGTCCCCTCTACCAAACCGCTCCCCCTCCCGATTATCAGTGCCGTGTCAATTGCGACCGGCCGCGATCTTACAATCCTTACACAAGGTACACAGTTTCGGTAACGAACAGTACAAATCAGTATTTTAACCAAGGCCATTCACATTAAATATTATTTTATGCAATAAAATTTCAACCGATTTAAAAATTCAACACTCTTTCGGGCTCCACATGTAATTGGTCGTAACACGAATCTCTAGCAGGGCGGATGGTACTTTCCGGTAAACACAAAATCGAATCCGAGTCTAGACAACTCGATCCCGAAAAATAATTCGACCCGAGAATCTAATATCAGGAAAAAAAAAAGGTAATTGACCGCGATAATGATGAAGGGTAGAAATTGAAGTTTACTTAAATGCTAACCTTAGGTGGTCACGGTGTTCCGGAGAAGTAAAAAGGGTCCTGTGCCTGGGGCCTCTGGATTGATCTCTTCTTAAATCTTTGAGGGTAGCTATCTTAGTGAGGTTCCCACAATTTCCCACAAATCCTTTATTCTCTCTGGCAATCTTTTGGGTACTGCGTTGTTCACTGATTGATCCTTGTCGCTCAAAATTTTAAATCGGAGTGCGCTCCCGGCCGAGCTCCAGGTTTTCCGCGGCCTCCTGAACAAGGAGTAGGGGCTAGAGGTCCTCCTAGGTGTGGCCCACCTTTTGCTGCGTCTTCACATTCCTGGAGCTCGGTAGCGCCTTCAGGACACTGAACTTGGTGCTGACGCGGAGTTTCGCGCCCGGAGACTTTCCGACGTTACGTGGACTTCGGCCCCCGCGAGCCCGTGCGCACCCCTGAAATGCCACCTCTGCACCTTACTTGCGTCCTAGTGCAGGGCTCGCTTTCCCTGAACCCGATTTTATCTTGACTTTAAAATCTAAATTTCCGCTAAAATACAGCGGGACGCAACAGAATGATAATACCATTAACAGATGCAAGATATTTTTTTGGTAGCGATGATTCAGTTTGAAGGAGTGACAAAAATCATCAAAGTTCAGTGTAACTCCACAAAGTCCTCATATCCTGGAAACTACTTTAGATAAAAAAATCCAGGCGCTTTCAGAGAAATATACTTTTTAGAAAAATTAAAGTACATCAATAGTTCTTTGCAAAAGTCATACATGATTACAGATTTTGTACTTTCATTGAATTTTTGTCCCCCTTGAATGCGATTTGTGGATGCGAAAAAACATTACTTGGATTTGTTTAAAAAACTGCTTTAAAAAATAGAAATGATATCCCGATTTTTGGAAGTCTGTCAACGAGAACTTCGCAACTTCAAGTTACAAAGGAAATGGACAGAACACCAGGTTTCAAATCATCATACAGGGGCAAAAAACGGAAATTATTCGATAATGAAGGACAGGATGAATCATCGACGATCAGCGACAAAGAATACTTCCGTGTACATTACTTTTGAAAAATAATAGATACTGCGTTAGTATCCTTTAAAACTAGATTTGAATTACATGCAAATCACCAAAATATTTTTGGTTTTCTATACATGAATGAGATTGTGAATTTAGATGATGAATATTTATTAAAGTGTTGTCAAGATCTTCGCTTACGTTTGGAAGGAGATTTAGATGGAACTGAAATGTTTGAAGAAATTAAGATGTTCCGGTCAATAACACAAACCAATTATTCGGCTTTAGATTCGATGAAATACATTGTAAAGAACAATCTCTCGGAAGCATATCCAAATTTATTAATCGCATTACAAATTATGTTAACGACGCCAGTAACCGTGGCTTCAGCAGAACGTAGTTTTTTGCGGTTGAAACTAATAAAAAATTATCTGCGATCATCGATAAGCCAAAAGAGATTTTCATCTCTGGCTATTCTGTCAATAGAAAGTGAAGTAACNCGTTGTAAAATTTAAGTGTAGGATTTGAATGTGTATTCAGGCCCCGCAAAATTTGTTAACTCGGCCCCGCGAAATGTCACGACGGCCCTGGTTGCTCCTACTACTTATCTATTAAGCAAGAGATGCTCCCATCCACTGATAATATCACTGTAACGTCGCTGCAACATGCAACATTATTGACAAAGTTACCGCAATGGCGCTTTCATTTTATTTCCAATGCGTGCACAGTTAGATTGAGACAGAAGGATCCTCAAGCAGTTCCCTCTCACTCACATATTTTTCGACGGGCAAACGATAGGAGAATATATAGCGAGTCCATGTATCATAAGTCTATGATGTCTTCTTGAGTTGGATTTGGAGCATTTGAAACCGTGGAGCATAACGGCATTGTAACATAAACTAAAAACAGTAACGGGTTTTATGTACTAACAATTATCTGTATCATGTGCAAGAAAGCCACGCGAATGTTATCTATCGGTTTTGTTGAAACTGTAGCATCACAACAATTTTAATGTTATGACGTGATAAATTTTGGCCGTGTCATGACTCCTCAACTTTTCGCCCATGGTTGTTTCTTTATAAGTATCTTTTAATTCTAATTAACGGCGCCGATTAGGATTCGAACTGGCCAGCCGAATCCCTACTTAGGACAGCGCACGGAAAGCTCCGGTCTTCTCTGCCTGCGACCGTCAGACCAACCGGATCCACGCCTCTCGCCGAAAACCAAAACCTTTCACAAATTTTCGCGAGAGACGATCAATCTAACAAAAAAGGTACCTGAGGTGTCCCCTTCCGATTTTGTTCATTTTTAAATATGTTGTAGAGGACTAAAATCTAAGGGACCCATATTTTCTTTTTATCGGCGGATAAACACTTTTAGGGGGTGTAATCAGGCTTCAAGGTTGGCCGTGCAAGGGGGTCAGTTGGCTGTTTCACATAGAAGCACTCGACCGATTTTCATGAAACAACCGTCAAATTGCAGGGAATGAAGAATTATGAAACATGCATTTGGAATTTGGCGAAAAAAATTCATTTTTAAAGAGTGAGCCACCCCTTTGAATACTTCTTTTACCCCTTACGCGAGCAGTAATTGTTCTATCCAAATGAAATTAGGTTAATTTATAGACCAGAACAATACAAAAAAAGTTTCATTTGGATAGAACAATTACTGCTCGCGTAAGGGGTAAAAGAAGTATTCAAAGGGGTGGCTCACTCTTTAAAAATGAATTTTTTTCGACAAATTCCAAATGCATGTTTCATAATTCTTCATTCGCTACATTTTGACGGTTGTTTCATGAAATCGGTCGAGTGCTTCTATATGAAACAGCCAACTCACCCCCTTACACGGCAAACCTTGAAGCCTGTTTTGACGTCCTTAAAGTGTTTATCCGCCGATAAAAAAAGAACACGGGTCCCTTAGATTTTAGTCCTCTACAACATATTTAAAAATGAACAAAATCGGAGGGGGACACCTCAGGTACCTTCCTTGTTAGATTGATCGTCTCTCGCGAAAATTTGTGAAAGGTTTTGGTTTTCGGCGAGAGGATTTTCTTAGTGTGTAGGAAGTTCTTAGTGTAGCAGAGAATTTAGTCTTTTTGTCGCCGCCAGAATTCAAGTCATAGGATTGTCTATTGTCTTTACCTCGGGTTCGGATGCAGAAAAGCCGCGCGGCGGCCGCGTGGTCGTCCATGTCCGCGACCCATTTTCTCTCCCGGAAAACCCAATTGTCTTCCGGTTATAATCGTTATTTTCGAGTTTGGGTTTGAGATTAACTTTGCGACTTGTCCTTCGAGTAATCTTTCGTGATTAACCTTTTAGGTACGGCTGAATTCTGCGTGAGGCTAGTTCTCCGGACGACAGAATCTGACGCGAACTACGTATAAGCCACTATAGTGGCGTGTCGTTCTGAAAGATGACATCCGCGAAAGCCACTATAGTGGCGCGTCGTGCCTAAGAGGTTAAAGTTGTATAATGTAGAATTCGAGAAGCGTCGAGATTATGTCGCGTAATTAATTCAGAGTAGCATTTTCTCGCATAACGTTAATTCCGGCAGTCCATGTAAGCGAGGGCATATTATTGTCTTTATGAATAAAACTTCAGCCTTAGCGATCGTTTCTTTTTTATTTAAGCCAAATTTGTTTTTTGAGTTTCCCGATTTGGACTTTTCTCGCCTTTTGTCTTTCTCGGCGGCGAGTAGACGTGGATCTTTTTCGCTTTGCCCGATCGAGTTTATTGTGAACCGCTGTACTTTCGAACTGTCTCGGTTCTGATTTGATTTTCTTTGGAGTGACCCCTGGCTTGAACCTCGTCGTTTCTTTTGTAACTATCTGTTATCCGTGGTCTAAATTGTTCGGTAATTTACCTTTCTAATTCAAATAAATCTGCTAATTTTCTTAATTTCCGTTTTTGATTTTTTGAGCTGAATTTTTCCAAATTTCACCGAGTTGATATTTTCTCGCAATTCTTTGAGTTTTCCCATTCCCGTAGTCTGGTCTTACCCCGTCCTCTCCGAAACTGGCGCATGCGCTCTGTGCTAGCCGGCCGCGCCGCGACGATCGTCGAAGCGGAGATCGTTCGAGCCTAGTATTTTGAGTTTTGATCGAGAGTTTTGCGTTTTTGATATTGTTGAGAGCTGAGAGTGTGTTTCTTTGGTCTCCGGGGAGGCCTGGCGCCCAACTTCGTGTCTCGTAACCGAAACCGGGAAATTTCTGAGTTGCTCGAACGGCTCCGCCTGAACGATCAGGCGAGGGTGATGAGTGATCGTTCGATCGCTGCGGGCCGGAAACCTATGCCCCTCGTTCATGTCATTCGCCACAATGTATAATAAACAATATTCAATACGTGAAAATGATAAAAGTTTCACGTTGAAATCGTATTTCACCACATTTTGTGTAACAGTAACTATAAATTTCTCTGAGTGTAATTGTGGTTCAAATTACTACAATATTTTAACTATTTCGCTGCAATAATTGGAATTTCTGGAACAATTTTATTTATAGAAATGGACGAAATATTTTGGTCACAGTCACGTTTTTATTATATTTGAATGAGCAGGGAATGTGTCAGTATGAGTTACTAAACTTTTGGTTAATTCTACAATATGGTATTCCCCTTACTAAAATCTCTTGCAATCGTAATCAATAACGTTGTAACTATCACTAAATTTATAGTAGGGTACAATACTGTAGGCACAACGTTATTTTAACATCACAATTTTTTCTCAGTGGGTGTGGAAATGCCGAAACTTTGATCTCTGAGCATGCATTCCCTACCACATTTTTTATGGCTATGACTAGATGTGTCAAATTCTATCGAATAGGATTACAAATTAGCCTAATATGAGCCCCATTTAAAAACAATATTTTCTGCTGGGGTCGCTTGACAAGTAACAACCCATGTATGCGCCCAGTAACCCCCGTTCCAATATAATAAAACTGCCAAATATTCATATATATATTACTCTATTCGATTATTTTATTAAAAGACTAATCACGAATATATTATCATCTACGATTCATCTTCTTTTAAACATTTATTGGCAGCATCAATCTCTTGATGAAATGTTTTCAAAACGTCATTGAACTTTTATGATTTTGATTTGAAATTTAAATCTTCGTAAACTTAACTGTTCTAGCACACATCCTTTTATGTTTTTGGTAGTAGTTTCCAGCTTTGTATTCAACTTTTATCTTTAAGGAATTAAGAAAGCTCGCAAAGCTCAACTACCATGACTATTTTGTAATTTGCTGATAATGTTAATTAAATACTGCGAATATGTCGAGGTCTTCGCACCAATAAGCAGCAAGAAGATAAACCAGAACTGACTTTCGCTAGCTCTGAAATGTTCATAGATCGCAATGGATATTCGACCTTCTCAGCAAAAACTTTTGCAGATTTCGGGATCTCTTCTTCTGATCGGTGAATTAATGTCCCGTTTATGTAAATAACATTAGCAGCATCGTCTTCTGGCACTGTTAATGTTTGATAACTGTACGTTGCTTCCCTTTCGATGCGCTGTAAAGAAATTAACTTAAATCAGTATATTGTTAAAACAATTATA